CAGAGGCCAGGAGGAGATAATGAAGTCACTGAATGCAGCAACAAGCAAGTCAGAGGTGCCCTTTAGCTCTGGGCAGTGTCCTCCATAGCCGTACTCCAATTTCCCCTTTAGACCAAAAGATTTCTCACCTTCCCCTTAAACCTGGCCCCATCTCCACAGAGCCTACTTGTGAATCTGAAAAATGGAGACGCTCTCTGAAGACTACAGAATACTGTTTAAAGGATCAAATAGCATCATGGATGCTAAGCACTTTCCAAACTATAAATACCATACTGAAGTCCTCTCTGTCTCCCTACCCACATCTTTTCTGCCTCCAACATCAGACATTTCTCCTCATCTTCCCTCTCCTTCCCTCTGCCTTCAATCTTCACCTTCACGGACCTGCCTAACTTCCCCCCAATCATTCTTGCCGCCAAATCCACAAGGATGTGTTCTGAACTTCTTGCCTCCACTTCTCAGCAATTCCCTTGTCTTCCCTCTCCTCCTTCCTTAGCCTCCCTGTCCTCTCTGCAGCATCCAGTACTGCTGTCTATCCCTTTTTCAAAGGTCTCCTCTCTTGACTTTGGTGACTTATTGTTCCCTCTCCAATCTCTCTTCAGCTCCTTCATCTATTCTTCAGAGACGTGATTGACAGTGGCTGGGTCCAGCTGCAGCTTAGATCTCGTCATACAACTCTGGGGCGAGGAGAGATATATCAATATATATATTATTGATTTCAGAGAGGAAGGGAGAGGGAGAGATAGAAACATCAACGATGAGAGAGAATCATTGATTGGCTGCCTCCTGCATGCCCCACAATGGGGATGGAGCCTGTAACCCAGGCATGTGCCCTGACTGGGAATCAAACCGTGACCTCCTGGTTCATAGGTCGATGCTCAGCCACTGAGCCACACTGACCAGGCCATTTCCCTCTTTCTAAAGCCAGATGCTACACTTGAATTTTCTATCAAGAAACCCCTGGGGCTTCCACTCTACAAGGCAAAATTCAGATCCTAGATTCTCATGTCAAGAACCTGATAGAACGATTGCTTACAGGATTAGAAGGGAACCTCATGTGATTCAATTCAAACCTCACCTAATCCTCATAACCACTCCCCAATGGCCCCTGCTGAGGGACTCTCCTGCCTCTGCTGGACCACTGTGGGGACAAGGAACTGGCCACTTCCTGGACAAGCATCGTCCCTTCCCAGACATCTGAGAAGAAAGGCCTACCTCATATCAAACCACATCCAGCTTCTTAGTCCCCTGTATTCAGTTTTCCTTATACCCCATGGGTCCTCCAAAAGAAGATCAAATCCCTCTTCCACGTATCTTCAGACTTTTTAAGATGCTTGCCACCTCTCCTCCCTATTCTCAGCTCTGGAAAGTCTGGTCACCTCCATTCCTTCCACTGCTCCTCAAACCACACAGCTTCAAATCCCCTCATGACCTTGACCTTATTTGAGTGTAACCATTTACAATAGTGAAGTGTGTGTGTGTGTGTGTGTGTGTGTGTGAAATGAACAAAGGGAATTTCTTTTAGTTTTCCTTTTAGTAGTTCATTTTTGCAAACATCAGGAAACAATTTCCGAGAGGCAGCATGACATATGATGACATAGGAACAAGGTTATCCAGAGCCCAGCACATCAGACAGTCTGGAAAACCCTTAAGTGAAGAATGCTTGTCTCCATGAAACCTTGATAATTTAAAAGGGACAATGACTATCTGAAGCAGTCAAGGTCTCCGTTAAATCCAGCAAAGCTAGGCAACTGGAGGGATGGGGGCAGGGGGGCTTCTCATGCAAGGGGACCCTTTGGTCTTTAGCGACATCATTATCTGCGGGTTATTATCATTACTACAAATACTAATACACTTTTATTAAGCACTGGCAATGACCCAGGGCAAGTGAGTTTAAGTTCATATTATATCCATTTTCATTATCGAGAGAAAAGGGGAGAATGAACAAAGGACTATAATGTGAAATTCTAAAGTAGGAAAAATGAAAAAAGGTTAATTAAAAAAAAAACCCCACAGAGTAAAGAGAAAGGCTCCAACTGTTCGTAGTCAGGAGCCATGATGGATGGTGGATCTTGTCACCCTGGACTTGTCCCCTATGATTTCTTTCCATCTCTCTCTCTAAAAAAAGATCCTCCTCTTAGCTAAGGACATAGCAGGGATGGGGTGGGGGTGGGGTGGGGAGAAGGGCAGTAGACTTTTATCTCAAGGGCCCCTTTTGACTCTGAAACCTACAAATCAATGTTTCCTAATTCTAATATCTAGCCCCAAACAAAATCAAATTTTACATTAAAATATAAAAATAAAATACAGCCCTAGCTGGTTTGGCTCAGCGGATAAAGCGTCGGCCTGCGGACCAAAGGGTCCCAGGTTCAATTCCAGTCAAGGGCACATGCCTGGGTTGCGGGCTCGGTCCAACATACAGAAGGCAGCTGATCAATGGTTCCCTCTCGTCATTGATGTTTCTATCTCTCTCTTCTTCTCCCTTCTTCTCTGAAATCAATAAAAATATATTTAAAAAATAAATAAAAATAAAATACAAATGTGAAATCATGAGAGACACTCCCTTCCCCAAAGACCCTTTTTTCTTCCCCTGACTCTAAAATAGCAAAGTACACCACTCTTGCCTCTGGGTACACCCTGGCCTTCTGTATGGTTTACATCTCTTAGGGCAAATGTAAGAAATTTCCCATCAGCCACCAAACCTCTTTGAAAGTCTCCTGTAGAATTACATCTTTCTGCTTGATAACTCTGTGCTTGGTAATTCAAAATACTATTTCTCTCCATCAAACAAATGCTTGAGGCTTTTCAGAGTATTTAAACCAGTGGAAATTTAAAACACCAAGCCGTCAGCAGAATGGACATCTAAATACAGAAGAAGTGTGTCCCCAGGTCAGGGTGTCCTTGGAAGGAGTGTTGTATTTTGGGTGTACACTTATGTTACATGGTGAGGTGTTTGTAGCTACAATGTTGGAGGTACTTATCTTGGCTGAAACGTGAATCCATCAACCAAATTACACATCAAACTTTGATGTCATTTGTGGTGTCAGCTAGAAGGGACCCTAAACAAGGTTTGCATGTGTTCGCATGTGTGTCACATTATAGAAACAAACCTGGAGACAGGCAATGACTTACCCAAGGTCAGACAGCAGGACCAGGTCTTGAGTCCAAGTGTCTGAGTCCCAGAACCCAGTGCTCTTTCTACTAAAATGCAGTCTCACTGACAGTGACACAAAATGGCATAGCTGGTCTTAGGGACGTCTTCACAGTGCCTCAAACTAGGATGAAGAGGTCGTACCCTGGACCCATCTCCTCAGATGCTATGAAAACCAGGTGACTCTTGCAAAGTTGACTTAGAGAAAGGAGACAGCCACCCCCACTAAAAAACAAACAAACAAACACCCAGGGTAAACTTCTATCCATCTTGGTGCCGGCCAGTGTGTTTCTGGTTGAAGGCCTTAACACCTTGATGGCAGGATCATACATGTATTCTTACCCATATCCCACCTAGCACCAACTATGAAGTTCAAATTCAGTAAATGTTGACTGAGCAACTGAACTCAATGAAGTTAAAAGTGAGACAAGAATGAATAAATATTCAACCAACGGCATTGGGTCAACTGGATAATCTGGGAGTGGGCAGGCGTACCTGTCAGGTATCAGATTTGCTTTGACAAGATGACTCCAGGTGCAGACAGGTTAGGAGACTGTGGAGCTCATCTTCTGGGGCTCACTCTGGGCAGACCCTGTGCTATGAGCTGCACACATATTCTGACAATTCTTATAACCACTCTCTGAGGAGGGCAGTTTTTCTGTGTTACAGTTGAGAACCTGAAGCTTTTAGAAGTTAAACAATGGCTCAAGGTCTCCCTGGTAGGATGTAACAGAGCTTTTCTAATAACGGCCATTTAAAACACCTTAACATTTTAAAAATCTGCTAACAACCCTGAGTTCTCTTCCACTTAAGGACATACTCCCACCAATGTGGGTGGTGGTGGCATTAACACTTCCTGCCTCATGGCTGCCTGGGGCTGTCAGACGGGGAATTGGGAATAACCACTACTGGGTGCAGGGTTTCTCTTTAAGGTGAAAGAACCCTTGCCAGCTCTGCTTTGCCAAAATAGTTCCGTGGAACATTCAAAATCCTTCCAATTCTTTCATCACTTATTTCCCGGTAAACTTTCCACCCTCACCTCCTGCTACTTCCCCCTGGCACCACCTGCTGCCTCCCCGCCTAAACACACCAGGCATGCCTTCACACAACTATGCTTGCTGTTGAGAATGCCATATTCCCTCTTCCCTTTCTGTTGACTCATATATCCTTCAAGACCAAGTGCTGTTTGCTCCAAGAAATCATCCCTTTCTCCTCCAGGCAAAGTTGAGCATCCCCTCTATGCTGTCAACATGGCTTATGCATCTGCCCCTGCAAATACTCCTTGAGTTTACTCGACAGTGTAATCTTCAGCCCCAGGACCTACTGCTTGTAAGCGCTTAGTAAATGTTTACTGAACAAAGCACTCCCTGAGTATTGGCTAGAAACAGTGCTGTTTTTTCTCCAACTAGTTTAATTGGTAAAATCCATACAAATATAACTTGAGTGCTGGCCTTTAGAGACCAATAAAATGAAATAAAAATACAAATTTGAGGCCAACATTAAGACTTAAGAAATATTACCATAAAGTAACATTTCATGGAGGTTCATAGTTCAGATACTTATCATTGTTGACCGAACACACTTACTGAAGTCAATACTCTTTTATTCAACATATTAAATGTGTTGTTTAACTCTGGTAACCACAGCTGTGACTTAGTTAACGATCTCAATAAATCCTACTTAAATCAGAGACAGGAAAAAATTATGCAAATGAATTCTTATCTGTTTTTCTGCCCAAGGCATATTTGATAACAGATAAAACATACTCCAAATAGTCTCTACTTAATAGTCAGGAAGCCATTTGAGGTTTTATTTGAATCAAAATCAAGAACAAAGAAGAGGAGAAGCCTGCGACAGTCACAAATGGTTTTATTTCAGAAAGAAATTACACATTAAAAGGAGACATAGTTAAGAGCCTACATTCACATATGGAAGTGAATCTAGGGAAGTCAACAGTTGCTAATACACAAAGCCATATGATTAAAAAAGACAGAAAAGATAATGACAGATGGGCTAGCCTTAGATTCATCCACAAAATAGTATCTTTTGTTTAAAAACAAAAATATATTGATCTTTAAGATAGCTCTTTGGAAAGGAGTTTCTCATTCCAATGGACTTTGAAAATCAAACCAATCACACCAGTCTCTGTATCACACCCATCCTCGTCCAGCAGCATGGAAACCATCCATCAATTACACCTTGCAGCTAGACAGGATGTCTTCCACTAATCTCTTGTAAACCCAGGCATCACCCTTAAGCCGCTGCCTCCTGATACCCACCACATCGGGTTTCTGAAGCTGGCATACTTCTAGTTCAAACTGCATTGTCACTTTGCCAAAATCTGACTGTGTTTGACACTTCAGTGTATAGCTGTGAAAAACAAGATAAGAAGCCAGTTAGTAGGAGAACCATGAATATTCTGTATAATACAAGAGATTTCTAAGCCTCCTGGAGGCCAGTGGAGAAAATAGACCATTATTTCCTATTAAGCAATATATTACTGCTTACAGCTTCTAAATGGCCTAGCTATGCGTTTGTGATGGAGTACGACTGGTGTTTTCCCAGAAGCTGAACTAGGATCTGAAGAAAGAATAAAGATGAAAAGGCTTTAGCAGAATTCTCCATTGCTCCAAAGAAAAGCCCTTCTTTCATAGCCAGACATGCCATTCACGCTCAAGAAATCTTCTGGCACCCTTTTATGCAACTCTTTCAACAGTGTAATCCGTGAACATTAGGCCAATTCCACAATGTTCACAACAAAGCAAAGCTCAGGGAAGATTAAGAATATTTTTTTGCATGCACCTCATCAGAATCTTCTGTCTTTCATATAAATAAGGCTGAAGCCACCAACCTGCCAGAGGACACATGTTTTTGAGGTTTCTCCAATAGTAAGAAGAAGTTACGATTGTCACCACACTTTATGGCAGGGTTATAAAAGGAAGCCCAAAGAGGTGGTACATTCCCATGGCTGAAACGTTCGGCATACATAATCAGAACTGCATGTGACCACTTCTGACAATGGAAAGGCCAGACTAAATGAAGCCTTAAACACAGTTTAAGAAACAGGTATGTTCCTGAAAAGCTGCATAAATTGAATTCATGGAAATCTGTTTTTTATTAGCTTATATTATATTTTAATTTTATTTAATTGTCTTACTGATTTTCAATAAACACAAACAATATCCAGTAGGATTGATTTTAAATTTCAAGTCACTAAATATTTAGGGGCACACAATTAGGAGCTGGTTCGCAGAAGTGTGGAGATATTTATTACTTGTATCTGTTATGTATTATGAGGTTTCACAGAATATCATTATTTTTCTTACTAACTTAGTTATGTGTTTTGGGGCTTTATCTCTTAAAAATAAGCAGTCAATATCAGAAATGCCTACAGGAGTACAGTACTGATGGGAAAATGAAGCATTTAGTCATAGGAAAGAGAAAAAGCATTCTTCTGACTGGAATAATATGGACTGTAACTGAAATTGGTAATATCTAATGAAAATATCACTGAAAAACTAAGAAGGTAAAAAGAAGAGGATCAAAGCAAAGACCTTCTGGTTGATCGGGAAGTTAGAAGAAAAAATTATTAGTTAACAGCCAGTTAGAGATCTGCTGAAGCTCAGATGATGATGAAGGAAAGATCATTGAAAGCCTCTGATATAGATCGGCTAGAGGTTCTGAAACCATTGCTAAACCCCAAGCACGAAGGACAGGTCAGAGTGAGTTAAATGTGTTCTAATGACACCTAAGGAGGAAAGTCAAAGTTCACATGAGTGCTCGCCAGCCAATGAGTACAGAGTGAAAAGTAAAATTACTTTTGCAAAAGATTGATTCTTAAAATCTCATCTCTCGATTGGCCTATTTAAATGTTTTTATTGAATATTAGTGAATCTTCTTCGCTGTGTTAAAAGTAACATTTTAAAGAGACATAACTGAGTGGAAAGGCTTGGAAATAGGAACATCTTAGGTAAGAGAGAGGGCCAGGCTGTTTAGACCATGAGATCACAACCACCGAAGCTTTGAGGGCAGAACACTCAACAGTGGGAAAGTCTTAAGGTGAAATGACTTCCCAAAGCACTAAAAGCCCAATCCTGTAACACAGCAAGTCACACAGAGAAGGAGTCTATATAAAGCCTTGATTTGTCTGAGGCAGCTCATAAATTTAGATTGCAATTTATAAATATTATTGAAAAGTAGACCATGAAAGAAAAAAAGAGGATGTAAAAGAAAACTGGAAGTTGTTCAGATTTTCCTACTTTGAGAAGTCTAATTTTTAAAGTAGTGGCAGAATGGGTACTTTAAAAATGTCAATAGCTCATGTAAAACAGAAGAGAATAAATTATGAACAATGACACTATCACAAAAGCTTTTTGAAGTGAGGTGGGAGAAATATATCTATTTTTTTAAAGGGAAGAATAGAATCAACCATGTTTTCTCAAAGCTCAAAAGACATCAAGTAATAAACCCAACAGCCTATCAGGTTGCTTCTTACCCCTTCCGCACAAAGTCAACGTGCTTCTTTGGAAGAATAGACATTATTTCATTCAAGAGCTGATCTGGATTCACCAATCTGGTTGTCGTCACATTATAGTGAAGCTTAAAAAAGAAAAAGGAGTGAGAAGTCAATCTTTACATCAACAAAAAGACTATCCTGCCTGATTTAAAGAACCAAAACTCCTCCATGTAGTACCATTTCAAATGAAAATATTTCAAAAAAAATACTGAAAGAATTTACAACACACTCTTGGTAAACTGGATTAAGATGGCACTGGGAAAGTTTGGAGAAATCATGTTTATTAGTTACTATTTATGTATCATCCTTTTAATACTTTTATCTTCCTCTCCTACCAATCTTTTTAAAGAAATAAATATTAAATAATGTTTATTTGTTTAAACTTTACCTGTTTCTCCCTTCCTACACTATGACAGTGACATTTACAGTCCTGAAATGTAAACTGAGGGAAGATGAAACAAATGCCCTCAATATTTCCATTTGTATATAGTTGGATGTTTCCTTAACTCTTTCTTGAGTATTTTAAAAATATTATAGAATCCCAGGGCTAGTTTCCTTTTAAATAAATGTTTTTTAAAAGTCAGTCATCTTGCCTGGTTGGTGTGGCTCAATGTTTGAGCATCAATTCCTGGTCAGGGCACATGCCTGGGTTGTGGGAGCATGCAGGAGTCCGCCAATCAATGATTCTCTCTAATCACTGATGTCTCTATCTCTTTTCCCCTCTCCCTTCCTCTCTGAAATCAATAAAAATAAAAATTTTAAATTTTTTAATTAAAAAAAGTCAATCATCTTGATGGTTTCATAGGTGCATATATATTGCTAAAAGTATGTTAACTGTACATTTTTAAGATGTGTAGTTTACTATATGTCGATTATACCTGTATAAATCTTTTTCTTTAAGAAAAGAGTCAATATAAAGAAAAAACCAGATAAATAATAGGGGCGATGAGATGCTGAGATGAAGGCGGGTGCTCCATGACTGAAGCTGGGAACCCCAGCTTTAGTTATAAAAGGAATAAGTGGCACAGCTACAATGGGACCCTCTATCTCCTGGGTCCCCGGGCTCTTCCACCAACTAAACCACCTTTTTTCAGGTAACAATACACTGAACACTTTCAAATTACAATTTAAGTGATTCCTTTTGTAAAATAATTAATCTCACTTTATCCATTAGCATTTGATAATTGCTTAGCTTCTCATAATATACAATTGGACAAATTTCCTTAATTTTCTTTATTTAAAGTTGTTCAGGAAAATGGCACTATGGTTTTCTTAATCCCCATGTCAGGGTTGGAATACTTTACAATACTCTCCAACCAGAGAAATCTCAGAATAAAAGGATAAAATATACCTAATAAACAGCCATATGTAACATAAACGTTTCTAGTGTATTATACAAGTTCAACAAGGCAACAATACTAATGGATAAGTCCTTTCTTCTTCTACTTCAAGACAGGACATATACGGGATCTCTGAACATTCTCCTCTGAAGCACCCTTCCCGCAACAGTTCAACATTTTCCTTCCCCCAAACCTACCCAGATTTGCTCAAAATGAGACTCTCCGTGCCAAAACTAAACACAGACCCAGTCCCCAAATCATAGGGAACACTTGTATTTTCCCCGCCCTCCTGTGGGTCCACACCCTTCTTGAACATGTTTTATTACAGCACTGAGCTTTGTCAGAGCAGTAACATCCCTGCCTGTTTCCACGGCCACTCTGAGTCTCACACAGACATGGGCTGTGTCTTATTCATCCCTTACCTCTTACTTCCCCAAACAGAAACATCATTCATTAGATGTTTGAATGAAAGCTCGGAGAGAATCCAAGAGAGTAAGAACTATTTTATACCTACTAATAACCTATTTTACTTTTCCTTTCCCACCAAATATAGCGCCCACCTCACTGACACCTTTTAAAGCAGCGGTTCTCAACCTGTGGATCGTGACCCCTTTGGCGGTCAAACGACCCTTTCACAGGGGTCGCCTAAGACCATCCTGCATATCAGATATTTACATTACGATTCATAACAGTAGCAACATTACAGTTATGAATTAGCAACGAAAATAATTTTATGGTTGGGTCACAACATGAGGAACTGCATTTAAAGGGCCAGAAGATGGAGAACCACTGTTTAAAGCATAGTGTGTCTATTAAATGCGATCCAAACCCCTTAGCCAGCCCACCTTCCCAGCCTGTCGCTCACTATTTTCTTCACACACACCACACTCAAAGTTCAAATGAATTCAAATATTCAAGTATTCTATGAGGGCTTAAAAGTTATCCATGTGTCAGGGACTCTTCTGTGGTGCCAGAGATATGGAAGACAACTGAGCTCAAGTCCCCATCCTTAAGGGATCCTTAAGGCAGTTGCTCTTATGTCCCATGCTTCCGCACCTCCATGTTCCCTCAGTGATTAATCCCTCTACCGCAACTTGAATATTTGAATTCTAGTTATTCGCTCCTTGAAAGGGGCGGCCATATCTAATTTACCTCTGCAGTCTCAAAACCCATTGCATAGTAATATGCATATTTTAGATCCTCAAAAATACTGACTAGCCCTCGCCAGTTTGGCTCAGTGGATAGAGCACTGGCCTGTGGACTGAAGGGTCCCAGGTTCGATTCCTGTCAAGGGCACATGCCCAGGTTGCTGGCTCGATCCCCATCCAGGTGACATTGTTCTTCCCATGGCCGATCCCACTGCCTCTTTTTTAAAACTGATTTTATGTAAAAAAAAAATATATATATATATATTAACTAAATGCTAAATGAGTAAATAGATTTAAAAATACTAATCCATTCATTCAGTACTTTGATTTAAAAAAAAAAAAGGAGTCCAGCTAGGAGTCACCTTCTGAAATCCACATTAAAGACTGAGTCCACTTACCTTTAATCTTCTCGGTCCATCTTTGGCACAGCCCTTCCTTTTGCTCCTGGTAAACACAGTAATAACCTTATCCAAGCCCCTTTCAAGGCTCCCAAACACTTTGGTTCCTTTTCTTTTTGGAGTGTCCTCTACATGTGCTTGGTTGAGATCCAGTTCCACTGAGCGACACCTTAAAGAAACAAAACACAAAACCACCTCGGAGTAGAGCTAGGCCTCCTGCCCACTGGGGCCCTCACAGGCTGTGCTTGAGGTGGGCTAGATTGGCCTCATTTGGGTATCCCAGGGCCAGCCCACCTCATTGCTCAGGGAACACAAAAGTCATCTCCTACTGGAATTTAGCCCCCACCCGTCCCCCCAGCCAAATGCCACTTGGCAAAACTATTTTTCCCCTACCTTTAAAAAAAAATGTCAAAATACACAAAAGTTGAGTAGTACAATGAACAATTGTTAATATTCTGTCACATGTGCTTTCTCTATGCATATAGATAGATAATAAATACATTAAATACGCCGAAACCGGTTTGGCTCAGTGGATAGAGCATCGGCCTGCGGACCGAAGGGGCCCCGGATGCATATAGATAGATAATAAATACATTAAATACTAGTATATGTACAACTCTGCCAAGCCATCTGAAAGTAATCCATCTGAAGACATGATATTCACTCTGAAACACTTCCGCAAGCATGGCCAATAAATAAGGGCATTTCCTACATCGCCACAATACCATTATGACATCAAGAAAATTAATAATGTCATAGTATCTTCTAATACCTAGTTCAAATTCTAATTTTTTCAATTGTCCTCAAAATTGATCCTGCTTGAAAAAATAACTATAAAAGACAATGAAAGGTCATCTATGCTACAGAATCACTCAACAAGAATGGGTTTTCTTTGAAACACTTTTTAGTATCTTTACTATTTTGAGCAACTGCTATCTGTTAGTGAATGTCTATGCTCTATTGGCAAAAGTATAGAGAAAGGAGAGGCTCAGAGAAAAAAAAGTACGTGGCTGGGGCCGAGGCTGCTGTCTTCCCAGCCTGCTGTATTCTAGGTTAAGGTGTCAGTCCTTCCGCTGAGGAGTTTCACAATTCTGCCCCATGAGGAAAGCAGTGGCAATGGCTTCAGTAATGGCCAAAGACCATCCTCAGACAGACATTCCTACCGTCGGACAGAATCTTCAAGATGGTTTGCCTTAACCAGGTTTATCATGCATGAATAAAGGAAATCTGGTTGCACATACTAAAGATCAAAGAGGTCTAAAAAACACTTACCGCCTCTCAGGGCTAATGACACCTGTCATTAACTTCTCTGCTCCTGCGGAATTTACTGGCATTTTAATTGGGGTTTCCTCCAGGCACTGGTTTCTAACTATTAGAAAAACCACAAACACAAACAAAACCAGAGCTGACATACTGTGGTTCCAAAATTTCTATCAAGAATGCATACATCACCCCATCCCGTGACTCAGAGATGTAATCACTTCGCCAGCGATGCTAAAGCTACAATTCTGTAAATAAACGTTTCCATGTGATTTATAATAAAAACAAAATCGTTTTGCTTTGCATGTGTGGCTCTCCTTTCTCTTCACTGCTTATTTTATTATAAATATCATGACAGAGCTAAACAGATCTTATAAATACAGATTTTGTGATTAATGATTCTCCTTTCTATAAATGAAAGTCAATCTGTGTTTACACAAGGACCCAATTTATGTCTTTAATTGATATAGTACTGAGAGGTGTTAATTCAATTCTCCGCTCAACTCAGCCTGTTAGGCCAATGATTTCAGCCTTTTTCATCTCATGGCACACATAAACTACTAAAATTCTGTGGCACATCAAAAAATATTTTTGCCTACCTGACAAAAAAATACGTACAATTTTGATTGATTTTAAAAAGTGATAGTAATTACCTAAACTTTTTTGCTCCAAGGTGACTTTTTAAAAACTCAGGTGCCTATACTTGTATATAAGGATTTCTGATATCAAAAACTAACCAATCAGATGCAACCTTTTTATGGGATGTGACCAATAAGATGCAACTCTATTATATGGCCTATATATTTATGGTTCAAGACAAAGCATTCACATTGAATGACTATTGTTGTATTGGCTGTTGTCATTTTTTTTTTTTTTTGACAAGGCAAGGGAAAAGAGGTCAGTGTCCCTAACTAAATAGTCAGGTATTGCAAGTTCTTAAAATTCTTGTGGCACAGAGAAGTGTCCCAGTGAAAGTATGACAAAAGTTATTAAAGAGGAGTGAGCTGTGGCTATTTTTATATTTCTTATTCCAGAATTTTGTTTTATGCTAATGAGGTATTTGTATCCCATGATAGTTTGGGACAAATATGCATTAACAAATCTGGTTGCCAGTGATTAGTTCACTTTTTGTTCATGATATAAACCTTGTAACCCTTTAGAGATAATAATATTCTCTTTATAAAATATGATACCGAATTTTTAAAAAGAGATCAGAGGTTTTGTTTTATGACTATTCAGCACTATTCTCACTGGTTCTACAAGAACAGGAAAATAAGATCAACATCTATGAAAAACAGTTTTCTTTTTTTTTCTTCTTTTTTAAAAAAATATATTTTATTGATTTTTTACAGAGAGGAAGGGAGAGAGATAGTTAGAAACATCGATGAGAGAGAGACATCGATCAGCTGCCTCCTGCACATCTCCTACTGGGGATGTGCCCGCAACCAAGGTACATGCCCTTGACCAGAATCGAACCTGGGACCTTTCAGTCCGCAGGCCGACGCTCTATCCACTGAGCCAAACCGGTTTCGGCATGAAAAACAGTTTTCATCTTTGTACGCTGGGAATATCTACTATCATACATAGTTATCCTTCAACAAGTTGTCACTGACTGGATTATACAGGATCCAGAGAAATTAAATTAATGTTTATGTCAAAAGTGACTCAGAGCAAAAGTAAAATGCAAAGCGCTAATGGTACCTATCAATTGGGGCTCAGACACTCGCTCCCATAGGCAGCTCTTATGTTTAAAGAAAAGCAGCCAATTATAGTTTTTGACCAGAAAAATGTTTCTCACAGGGACAAGTCATGTAAACTTTATGATTATAAATTCTCAACTATCTGTATTTTAAAACCTCCAGAAATACATAAAAAGCAGAAAATATCAATGATAGAAGGGACAGTAAGCATCAAAGACTCTTTCTAAAAATACCCCGAATGAGCTGAAAGTCCATCTTACCTCCCTGCCCAGCCACTCACAAAGGATGTTATACCCTTGTTAAGAGAAATAACAGAAGAGACCCCCCTCACTGGAAAAAATTCAATAGCAAATACTACTGAGGTCCTACTATGTGCAAATGTTGTCTCACTGAAACCTCATACAGGCAGCCACACACTCATCTCATCATCACTGCAAACTGGCCTCACAAGTTGGAGGAAAATGTTGAGTTAATGGAGTTAATTGGAGTTTTTGGCTCTGCAATTAGAAAATGCAATTAACAGGACTTCCAGCAAATATTCTGATAAAGTTCTTCGTATCTTTACATGTAAGTAGACCTCTGGAACTGGCTATCAGCCCCAATGGCAAACTGGAAGCACAATGACAGGATGTGAGTTGGCAGCAGTTCCATGGCAGTGTTTCAGAGTTCGGTTTCATTAGGATGTTAACATAACAATATTAGGTCACAATTGCTGGGAAAAGGCTAATAAAGTTTAGGTGTCATTTAAAAAAGTGACATAGGCTAAATCATAGTAAATAAATCCGTTTAGCCTTTAATTTATTCATTCCTTCATTCAACAGATATGGCCCCCATTATATACCAGATATTAAGCACCTACTATGTACTAGACAATGAACATAGCCCCTCCTATGTACTATGCCATGCTGCAATACAGACAGCAGACACTATCTTATCCTGGTGAGACCCAGTACTAGAAGACTAGGTTCAGTTCTAGGCAGTTCCAAGAGGCACACTGACAAAATAGAACATGTTTAGATGAGGTCAGCAATAAAAGCGCTGAGGTGTCATAAAGGAAACAGCTTAAATAACTGGTGATGATAAAGCTGAGGAGAGGAAACCAAGGGAAGTGAGAGCCA